TGCTTTTTGTGTTCTGTCTCCTGCAATATAAATTATTCTGCAGCCTATATTAGTCATAACCGTTTCTGCCAGGCCAGGTGCCTTTACAGTATGCCAGGGCCCTCCTCTTCCGATTTTATATTGGGTTAGATTGATAGCACAACACATACAGGGTCAAAGAAGGGCCATCTTCCATTGCATCATGGGAGCTGACCATTTTTTATTTTCCCCAGTACAGATCTATTCAGCCATGGCATGGTCAGTGGACATACAGTGGGCCATAATCAAAAAACGTAAGAACCCTGTTTTATGTTGAAAGAGAACTATGGGGTGGGTGTTTTTCCCCCATAGTTCTCCTAAGAGTCACGGGAGGACATATGCTAGTGTCCTCCCGTGACCCGAAGCTCAGTATATCGGGAGCTACAGCTCACGGTATACTGAGACCGATGCAGCCGGGACAGATCCCGACATTACTGTTGAGAGTCACCTAGCTGCGTGAGTGACAGCTGGCTCTGCCTATCTAGAGGCAGAGCCAGCTGTACCCGCCCCCGTCCGTTCCGCCGGTCCAGCGCTGGAGAATCAGAGGGGGGAATCCCTGCAGGGAGTGGTGGCTGACAGTCACAGCTCCCTGCAGGGAGGTAAGCGAGCGATGGTATGCGCTCGCTCACTTCCCGATCTATTGAGCCGACCTGTGACAGTTTCATTGTCGCACGTCGGCTCGAACTATGAGGATGAGTGATTTTTCACTCACCTCAAATTTCTCCTTTTTAAAGTTTTTTACACGGCCAGTGTTCATGCAAGTACATAGCATTGTTCTTCAGATCCGCCCCTTTACTCTAAACAATCGATTGGAATTACCCCTTTAAAGTTACACTTCAGTAAAGCATTAAAAGGGTTGCTCAAAACAACTGCTTACTGACTGTAATTGTGGCATTCAGCTTATGAAGATAAATGCCTCACGCTACATTAGATCTCCCCTCCCAGAATTCTGAATATTGACTCCAATGTGTCCGTCTGTTTCGGCAAATACTGCTGTCACACCGGGCTCAAACATGAAGCCATGACCCGGCAGTAGAGACTGCAGCCTCGTAGTGGGCCACTGACTACAAAACACCAGCATCGGTACTTCTCCGAGCAATCTGTGATTATTCTTAACTGAACCACGTCCTAGTGAACTGCTGGAGATGTGTGAGCTCAGTATGGAGAAGATGGGGACGTTATTTGCAGACAATAACATTTATATGTTACATATGACGTATCAGTCCATGGGAATCTGCCTGTACATGCAGGACTGGGAAGGCGCCTTAAAGTATGGAGAGAAAATCATCCACCCGTACCGGTAATTATCAACAGCCATACCAGTTCTGCTAACGTGAAATTGCATTAAAGAGCACCTGTAGTGTTACGGGGGAGGCTAGCAGTGGTTTACCATGTACTTGAGACTTTGCAATGATGGAGTAGTGTATTCTGGGAAGTGTTGTATTTAAAGGTTACCAGTTATTCCACAACTTTAGAAACTGTTGACTTCCTTCTGAAATTCATATTTGGTTGTCATGTTTTTTTCTAGGGGTGCACTGATACCATTTTTTCCAGACCAAGTACGAGTACCGATACTTTTCCTCAAGTATTCGCCAATATCTTTTGTGTCATGTGACAGTTTTCCTAATATAGACTCATGAATTTAGGACAGTGGAATATAGAAATATTATACAAAGAATTTAGGACAGTGGTAATGTGCCAGGGCCCGGTCCCTGCTGCAACCGCTGCGACCTTGGTAGTCCTGCCACTGACTTTACCCTGGTAGTCCTGCCACTGACTTTACCCTGGTAGTCCTGCCACTGACTTTACCCTGGTAGTCCTGCCACTGACTTTACCCTGGTAGTCCTGCCACTGACTTTACCCTGGTAGTCCTGCCACTGACTTTACCCTGGTAGTCCTGCCACTGACTCTAAGCTGTAGAGGGGTTACAAATCCCAGCAATCCGCGGTGTGCGGAGTCTGACCAGGGCTGTGCGTGCGGCGGGACGGAGGAGATGTGCAGCCGGCGCTGTAAACAGCCGCCGCGAGGTCCCCAGCAAGCTCAGGACCTTAAGGCAGCTGCATGTATTTAAAAATTTAAAGGGCCGGTATTGGCACTTTGTATTGGGGCATTTTTAATGAGTACTCGTGACAATGCCCAGTATGGACACAGATATCGATACTACTATCGGTGCATCCCTAGTAAATTCTGTACTTTCTGAGCCACTGACCCAGAACAAGTATGCATCAAGTGAAGTCAGAACTCCGTGATCTGCATGCTTGTTCTGGGTCAGTGGTTTTGCAGATATTGAAGCCAAAGGTTCAGCTAGGCAACTAACATTTTGAGGAGATGTCACCGGCAGCATCTGTTTTATCTTGTTGTAGGGAAGGTGGCTGATATGAAAGTGAATAGCCTGATATAGATAAGTCTGTGCTCAAATCCAACTAGCTTACATACATATTGCACGTGAGGTGCTAAAGGGTTGTAACCTCCCAAAGATCCGCCCCTTTAGCACCTCATTTGTTTTCTTTCTGTGTAAGCATTTTGGAGTTGCATTGTGCAGGTCAGTGACCAGACCTGGGTCTGTAGCTCTTCTCCAGATGTGTCTCATATGTCCATGTACAGTAAGTTAGGGACCAGGCACATGAGGGAGTCTGGAAAGAGACTGCTGAAGTTTTTGGGCCCCTAATGCTTTACAATAATTTTATCCAAAGTGCTTCTACAGCAACCAATGCGATTTCATCTGCGCTCACCATGAGCCGGCACACGTGGCATATATAGCTTCTCTAGTGAGCGGCCTGCCCAGGTATATGGTCCCATAGACGTACATGTACCGCATCTTTTCTATCATTTCTTCTGTCTTTTCCAGTAAGCACTATCCTGCATACTCTCTGAATGTTGCCTCCATGTGGCTGAAGTTGGGGAGACTTTACATGGGCCTGGAGAAGAAGACCGCTGGAATTAAGGCCCTAAAAAAGGTAAACAAGACACGGTGTTACCTCCAATGTTTGCTTTCCTTTTTTATTAGAAAGATAGAAATGGTTTCACCTTTAAATCCAAGCCTCTGCTTTGTAAATGGGGAACGTGCTATTGCACAGCACACCCAGAGTGCGGTACCATGTGCTAGGCGTGTTGCCATTCATTGACTGGCACCCCAACTCCCCTCCTGGCTGCAATGCATGGTATCGCAATTCATTGCAGTGAGAAGAGACTAGTACATGCACTACTTTTTTTTTTTTTTTCTTCATTGCAACAAATAGTATTATAGTACTGCACAACGCACTGCAACAAGTGGTATTATAGTACTGCACAACGCACTGCAACAAGTGGTATTATAGTACTGCACAACGCACTGCAACAAGTGGTATTATAGTACTGCACAACGCACTGCAACAAAAGATATTGTAGTACTGCACAACGCACTGCAACAAAGGGTATTATAGTACTGCACAACACACTGCAACAAATGGTATTATAGTACTGCACAACGCACTGCAACAAATGGTATTATAGTACTGCACAACGCACTGCAACAAAAGATATTGTAGTACTGCACAACGCACTGCAACAAGTGGTATTATAGTACTGCACAACGCACTGCAACAAGTGGTATTATAGTACTGCACAACGCACTGCAACAAAAGATATTGTAGTACTGCACAACGCACTGCAACAAAGGGTATTATAGTACTGCACAACGCACTGCAACAAATGGTATTATAGTACTGCACAACGCACTGCAACAAATGGTATTATAGTACTGCACAACGCACTGCAACAAATGGTATTATAGTACTGCACAACGCACTGCAACAAATGGTATTATAGTACTGCACAACGCACTGCAACAAGTGGTATTATAGTACTCCACAACGCACTGCAACAAAAGATATTGTAGTACTGCACAACGCACTGCAACAAGTGGTATTATAGTACTGCACAACGCACTGCAACAAAGGGTATTATAGTACTGCACAGCGCACTGCAACAAGTGGTATTATAGTACTGCACAACGCACTGCAACAAGTGGTATTATAGTACTCCACAACGCACTGCAACAAATGGTATTATAGTACTGCACAACGCACTGCAACAAATGGTATTATAGTACTGCACAACGCACTGCAACAAATGGTATTATAGTACTGCACAACGCACTGCAACAAATGGTATTATAGTACTGCACAACGCACTGCAACAAATGGTATTATAGTACTGCACAACGCACTGCAACAAATGGTATTATAGTACTGCACCAAATAGTATTATAGTACTGTACACTGCGGCCGGGAGGGAGGTGTGTTGAGATGCTGTTAAAATGAATGATACTGCATGCTAGGTGCGCTGTGTGTTACATGCACAATATTGTACGTTTAATGCATGGTGTGAACGCATCCTCACGCTGAGTCCATCCATTATAAATCATTTGCTGGATCTAGACCCATAGCCGGCTTTCTGCTCCAGGGTCAGACATTTACATAGGCCAGTCTGAAAGCTGACTTACTGCTGATGACTTTGCAATAACAGCCCTTCAATGCGCTGATCTGGCTTCTTATTGGAGTTTTCTTCTTCCTCTTCAGGCCATCAATGTCATGGAGATAGCTCATGGACCCGATCACCATTATATAGCCGAGATCAAGAAAGAGATGGAGCAATAATGCCAAAGGTCTACACGCTTTTCGCTTTGTGTCAGGAATGCCATTGTATGTCATTGTGACATTGCTGGACATGGAACGATGCTTCTCCCTAGGGGAACACCCTAAATCCCTGTTTTCTGCACTTCCTGATACGACACCCATCACTTGTAGCACTTGGAAGGCCTCCATCAGTCAAGTACACAACTGCTGTGTATGTGCTGAAATTCCACTAGGGGGCGACGTAACATCACACCTTTCTTTACACCATAAAGTGGATTTCTGCTGAAACATTGAATTCTATTCGCCGACTCGCTCGGATGGCTAAAGAGTATCAGAAGATAAATGTCTTTCCTGGAGAAAGGGCTGCACTCGCTCCCTTTTGTGCTGTTCACCTTGCTGAAGGCTTAGGCACTTGGTCACATAATCTTAGCTAATGCACCCCTTTAGCAGAGATCATGTGACACAATGCCAAGGCTTAGGCATATGTGATTTTTATTCTGGAGTGAACCTTGACGGACTTTTTCCAGGTAAGTATTTCCATGACATCGAATAGATTTTATTTATCCATCCCAGCAGAACTGATTGTAGCCACATGTTTACATTCAAATCTAGATCTATTTCCATGTGACTGGTTGGCCTGTAGGTACAGGGGTAGGAAACCTTGGTATTCCAGCTGTTGTGTAACTACAAGTTACATGAGGCACTGCAAGACTCTGACAGGCATGGTGGGATTTGTAGTTTCAGCACAGCTTGAGTTCCAAGGTTGCCTATCCCTGATGTAGTATGTCAAAGGGCCACTGTAGCTAATAAGAATTCTGCTTAGTATAAAGATGACATTCTGCTCATGCTTGTCAATATATTTTATAGTGTACTACATTGGCTGTGTGATAGCAGTTGTAGGTCAGTGTAGAGGCAGCAGTCCTCCATTAGGATTACCATCAGAGAGTTGTGTATTGGAAATGATCATCCCCTCTCAGTCTCCTGATCAGCTGCCTGAGATATTACTAACAGATCAGCTGACCAATCAGCAAGATGCAGCAAATGTACCTCCCATTTATTCGCTAGTATTTTTGTTTAGGTGTAGCGGTCCTTTAATTTTATTTTGAGAAATCAATCTCATAATTGAGATGCTATTAATATAAAGAAATCTCCTACCCAAGTTTATTTTGGCTTTGGAATGAGGGTGATGAGTAATGATGCTTACCTCTGCTGATCTGCTCCTCCCCCTGCGTCAGTCACAGTCCTGGCACCTTTCCTTAGTGGGAGCCGGCGCAATGAGGGGAGCATGTAAGCAATGGAAGGTAACAGTGATTGTCTCCTAATAGGTCTGTATGACTTGGCATGCAGGCCACCACGACCACCTTCACCTGAACGGTTTTGGATAGGAACTTTTTTTTTTTTTTTTTAGCCCATGAAATAATTTTGTTATTTGTATTTTATTTAAGGAACAAAAAACCCTCTACTTGTGTAAATGCCACGTATGCTTTACCACCCCGTGTAAACATGAAAGAGTAGCATGCTTTCAATGCAGACCTATGTTCTTGCCTCTGGAACAGTTTAACCAGTTTGGGGCTATGTTCACACCACGTCCGGACCAGACATGCAGTGCAGGGCATTTGTGCAGCTTTTAATTTTTGGCTTAAAATGGGCTTTCCAGTGCGTTTGCATGCATTTCTGATGCGTTGCAGTGCATTCCAGGCCAGAGAAAATTGTTGTTTTTTTGTCTGGACCGAAATGGACTGCGCTGGTGTGACAGAGCCCAGAAATACCACAGGGATACATTGGAATGCTTTTTTGGTCCAGGAACAAAATGTTCTGGTCTGGGCATGATCCACACATTGTGTGAACAAGCCCTAAAGAATTGATGTGTTCCTACACTTCCGTTTCCTGATGTCTGGGTACAGCCTGCTTTTGGTACTTGGGTAACAGCTATGGGATGGGATGCTTATTCAGCCTTATAGTGCATCTTAATGGCAGCTGACTGAAGCTATCCTAGGCCCAGAGCAGCCTGTATACAGACACACTAGACGTGTGTAGGGCTACATTTACACATGAGATGTTACTAAGTCCTCAGATCGCTGCTGAAACACAGATCTAATTTAATTGTTTTATTTTTTTTGGCGAGTGGATGATTTTTTTAATGTATATTGCTAAGCTTTTGTGAACAGTTGTCAGAACCTGAAAACCGATGTTTGCCTGCAAATTTTATTACAAAATTGCTGTTTTAACAGTGCATTGTAATAAAAGGGAACAAAAACACACAATGTATTAATTGTCTTATTTCTAGGAGCGTTCACCATGATCACATAGCAGCAGAGCCGCATTAATGGGTTAAAGCATAATGAAGCAAAACATTTGCGTCACCCGAGTCTCTGAAGGGAGCTGAAAGCCAGTCTCTGTTAAGGTGCCCATACACTGCACGATTCTCGTACGAGAATCGCGGGAAATCCCACGATCGTACGAGAATCGTGCGACCATCTCTACTGTACGGTCGCACGTCTTTTGTCTAAGGAGCATGCTAGAAAATCTTACAATTTTCGGCTGGTTTGAATGATGCTCAGGAGACAAATGCCGAAAGGGCCGGTGTGCGCACGTGCACACTGCCCGTTCAGCATTGCAGTCATCGGAAGCCCGATCTGCCTGTCCAAGATGGGCAGATCGTACGTTTTTTGAAATTACTTTACAACCCTCGTAAGGTCTTGGCCACCATTAGACTGCTCATACACCTTGCAATCATCACACAATACTTTTCGTCCGATAATCGAACCGTCGTACGACCCACCCTTACTTCTACCTTGCAGCACTGGGGGTCCCCGTGTCCTGGCCAGGTCACTATCTGCAAGGAGTTTGCATGTTCTCCCTGTGCTTGCGTGGGCTTTCCTCCGGGTACTCCGGTTTCCTCCCTCACTCCAAAGACATGCTGGAAGGTTAATTGGCTCCTTTCTAAGTTGGCCCTCTATGTATGTGTGATAGGGACCTTAGACTGTAAGCTCCTTGAGGGTAGGGACTGATGTGAATATGCAACTATGTAAAGTGCAGCGTAAATTGTCAGCACTATATAAATACCTGCAATAAATAAAATATTACATGTGTGAATGGGGTCTTACAGTCAAGTAATGGGGAGTGTGTTTCCTTAGGGGTTCGGTTCAGCACTAGGAGAGGAGCGTCGGTTATAACACGGCGTTGATTTGGAGCACGCTGTTTTGTCCTGCTTTTGGGACTTCTATATAATATAAGCTCACACCCTGTTTTGCACATGTGTAAGTCACATTGATTTCATGTCATTAGGATGATTTAATCAGAAGGTTTTATGAATTTTAGATTTAGAGCACTTTCTATTACTGGCACTATTGAAATACTGGCGCATAACCAAACTTTTCACGTATTCGTTTGTTTGTTGGAAGATTTATATATTTTTCTTTGCACATATATAGCATTTGCTTATTATATGGAAGTGTAGATGTATAGCGCTGTACACCCATTTGTATTTGTTTAAAGCATTCACGCTGTAAATGCTTTGCTTAGTGAGGGAAGTTCTGAGCACAGAATATTACTGGATTGAACCTCTGCAAGGTCTGCACAGTCAGAGAAACATCTTGCAGATTGTTCCTATCAAAAAAGGTCATCCAAATATCGCACAATTGGGATACCCTAAGAGAACAAAATGACTTAACACTGGACTAAGCAGTTTGGTGATCACTTGAGGTGCAGAAGCCAGGCCAAATGGAAGTGCCATGAATGTATAATGCACAGACCCTACAATGTGAGTAGGCAGCCACGCCACCCCAAAAAAAAAAAAATACACATCCCATTATGCTGCTGCAAGTCATGCTTTTGGCGGTCAGTCTTGCAATGCCTCATGGGATGTGTAGTTCCACGACATCTGGAGTGTCAAGGTCGCCAGCCCCTGCCCTGGAGTAATGCACAAAATCAGCTGGAAATATGGGGACGTTTAAAAGAGGCATCTTTTGTGTCCAGCAAACCAACTCGTGTGGATTCCACCCAGAATGTATGGAGCTGAATGAAAACATGCCACTCCTTCAGGTCCGAGATGGCGCACATGAACGCTTTGGTTTTAAAACAGTAAACACATTGGAATGGAACCCTAGAAATTATTCCAGGAAGTGTCAATAAAGATCAGCAATCCCTCAGAGATGGAGGGGTGTTTGACAATAGAAACCATGGAGGGGAGTAGGGAACAAAACTCTCGTTTGTAACCCTAGAAGCCCAAGGATCCACAATGGTCAACTGGCTTCCCACTACCATGGAAAAAGGGGAAGGCGGGTTGTTGTTTCATTTGGCAGCCTTGGAGTGCCAGACTTTGCTGGTGGACACGGAGCCAGGCTTGGGAGTTCTTGAAGTGGAAGCTGAGGGTGTGCTGAAACTGAGGGGGATGCATCTGAGACACGGTTATATTTCATCTTGACTGGACCCTGGGCAAACGTTTTCTGATTTTAATTAGCATGATGCCATAACCCAGCAGTGCCACACCTCACCCAACCCTCCCCAATTCCCCCTCCTCTCTCCCAAGATAGACACCCAACCCAGGAGCCATGTGGACTCTGCATGAGAAGTGGGTGGATGAGGCTGCAGCCATAGAGGGAGAGGCCGGGACCATGCAGCATTGTGTGCAAAATAAATTTGTTGTCCTGCTGAGGGGGAGGTGACATCCCGAGCTGCAGATTGTTGATGCACATTAGGGACAGGAGGGTGCTGCCCTCTAGAGGCCAGTGCTGCAGATCCAGAAACTGCATCAGTGCTAGTTTATGGGGTGTATAGAGCCCCACAACAATGACTGGGCCGAGGGCAACTGCTCTCTTTGCCCCACCTTAAAGACAGCACTGCTCTCAGAAACAGATGAAGATGACTGAGCAATCGCCTACTTATGCTTCTTCCTATACAGTAGCATCCTTGATGATGGCATCCCAAGCTGGGCTGAACAGACATTTTTTTTTCCCCTTTAAAAAAAAGTATAATGCCACAGAAATCTGTGCGCTCAATGATTAGAGGGTCAAAGGGAGTAGCAGCTACGATCCCTTTTAAGGGATTTGGACCGATTAGGCATGGTTTGGCAAAGCAAGACTACAGCCAAGATCAGGTGTAAGGCTGGATCCTCCAAGGAGCACATAGTTCTAGAAAGAGCCTCCAACCCCTTATTGGTCAGTGCTCCAACTGCAAGCACAGCCTCCACAGGTATGGTAGTCAGTTTGTTAGGTGAGATGCAAAGGAAAAGTCATGATGGCCTTAGGAGTTCTACAAGACTCAAGGCCAGAAACCGCATTA